ATGGATGGATGAATGGATGGAGTAATGAATGAATAAATGAATGAATAAAGGAATGAATAAATGAATGTATGTATGAATGAATGGATGGATGGATGGATGTAGGAATGAATAGATGAACCATAAGTTTATGAGTGAGAATATGAATTACCGTAATTAACAAGTGGATAAGTAAAGAAATGAACAAATGAATAAAAAAAATTATGGATGGTATGAACGAATGATGAATGAGTAAACAAATCATTGAATGAGTGGATAAGTAACAGAAAAAAAAAAAAGATTAAATAAATGAATTGATGTTGAGAAGGATGGATAAGTACGTAGTTCGATGGATGATGGATAGCACTGACATTTTGGACAAAATATGTAATTTTCTCAGTACAAAATTTTAAAATAAACCTCAACTCTTACCTCAATCCTGTAGAGAGTAAATTTACTCCTTCCCGGCTCCCAATCAGATTCCAACGCTGTCTCAGAACTTGGTATACTAATCAACTTACTGGGGTGAATCTTCACGACAGTTCTATTATCACTATCAGTAGTATCACCCGAAGAACTTGACGGCATTCCATATACAATCTCCTCTTTAACTGACGCTGCTGGTGGCGTACCATACCAAGTCTCTGTTTCGCTCTCTGATGACACATCTACTACGGCTTGACTACGAGAAAGCTTCCGCCCTGAGCTGGGTGAGTCTGTCTTGGTTTTAAGGACTGGCCGATGGAATGGTAAATCAGAGTCAAATGAGGCAGAATCAATACTAGACGGCACGTTAACTTCCATAGAATCTGCACCAGAGGAAATACTGGTTGACTTAGAGCTTCCACTGCTAAAACCAAAATTCTTTACTGGTGATTTAATGCTYGAGATAAACTTTCGCCCTGCTAAAATCACAGAATCGCTAAATGAAGGATCCGATTCAAGCATCCTAGGCTTTGGTGGTGTCGTTTCCATTGGTGACCGAGGGTCAGACGAATCGCTGTCTTTTGAACTATATCTGTTGTCACGGAAACTATCAAAACTGTTTTTCCCATTAGAAGTATCCTCCGTGCTTCCTGTTATCTCTCCATTACCTTTATATCTGTCTTGCATAAATTCACTCCTTTTCGCAAAGCCATGTTTTCTTTGCCGAATATTATGTTGATATACGTCACCGTCGCCATTCATATTATTGCCTTCATTGTCAATTTCTCTTGATATTGCACCCCTCGGAGGTGCTTTCATGATCGGTAAGGGTGCTATGTCTTCTGAAATTTCATCATCATCACTATCATTCCCTTCGTCCATTTCTTCTCCTTCCTCAACCTCCATGTCGTCGTCACTAAATGACTTAAAAGATCCATCACTGCTACAGAAACTAATGTTGTAATAGGGTGAGCCGTAAACCGGGGTCGGGTGGATAGTGGAAGATCGTAACGGCCTTTCTACAGGGTCAAGAGTCTCATCACGTTCCAAAACTGAAGACATGTTATTTGGAAAACTCACTGATCTTTGAAAGCTTCTGCTGCCATTGCTAACACACATCTTATTTTGCTTGTCAATACCATTTGTCATAACATCCAAGTCTTCAGGCAGTGATGCAGTTCTTTTCCTCATCTGTGCAAATTTATTTTTCAGATTTCCATCTAACTCATCGCTTGCTTCAAACCTTGTACAACACGTACCAACAAAATCCACAATTTTTTTAGAGCTATTTTTAAGTCTTTCTCTCTCAATTGCTTCTTGTTTCATAGCCTCAAAGCTTTGAGTTTGAAATGTTTTGTCGCCCGAAGAGGGTAAATATCCCCAAGAAGAAGACAAACTAGGTCTGTTACAGCCTTCAAGATCTTTTTCAGAATCTTCTGGCGAGATTAAATTTCCATTACCAGAATCAAAAGTTTTTACATTTTCATTAAACATTGAATCAGAATTATCCAATTGTTGATTATTTCGAACTAATGAGTCTTCTGTGTCCTTGATTTTGATCCTATYATCAATGATCGCTAAATCTGTAGTCTCTTGTCCTTCCGCGGGGAAGATCCTCACCTGTCTTTCAAAGGAAGAAATTACATTCTCTTCCTCTCCTTCGGGCAGAATATTCTCAATATTCTTATAAATCCCACTAGGGTTGATCCCAGTCGAATTTCCAATCGATTTTAAGCCATCCTTATTAGCTTTATCGCTAGTTTCTTGATCGTGCAGTTTCTGATCTGTCAAAACATCTGACAGCTGTTCTCTTGGAGGAGAAAGWAGATCAATGATGGCTTCGTTGACCCACTCTGCGTCACTCAACATATCCACAAGATCTACTAGTTGAACGGCCAAAATCTCCCTCAAAATAAATCTGCCCATATCACAACTAAAAATATTTTCAGGTAATAAAGCAGCTAGTAGAGAATCTACGACAGTTCTTAAATAATTGAGCTCAGAAGTTGGGTTTTTTAAAGCGAGGTGTTTGCTTGGGATCTGAGATTCGTATGTTTGGTGTAGAAGCTGTGAAGACGTGATGGCTAACTTCAGATTCGGATCCTTGTCTTTGAGGACAGAGACAGCTTTATTAAACCTTTCTAGATGCGCATGGAAGACCATAATGACTTGTTCTGATAGTAAATGTGAGTCTAGGTTACTCATTCGGTTGTAAATGTCCACGGATAATTTCTGAAGTGCCGCTTTACTTTCTTCGATGAAGACATCACCTTCTGCAACCTCGCGGTACCAAGAMCCCACAAAATCCCTGCTTACATTCTGTACTACCACATCGATCCTCTTAGATATAGGTTCAGGTATCCTACAAAGAGCGGTTTGTCCATCTGTAGTGTTTTCTGAAGAAGATAAACAACTCTTATTTTCAAGGAAGTGCGGAGATCCATAACCTACCCACTCTAAGACTTTAAAGACTACATCAAAGTCCAGTTCGTATTTACTGCAAAGAAATAGATAAATAAGCCACCAGCTGGCAAGCGCAAAGACTGAATAGTAAACCAAACATTTCCACGAAAATCCTGTTAATATGAAGGCTAGTAAGGCTAGAAATGAGGCTAAAAGTCTCATCTTTTCATGATGGTTTTCGGTTTTCTTGCGCCATGTCCATTTGTTGTCGAATAACATGACCTCCAGCGTGACCAGGCCTAGTGGCCTTATTCGGAAAGCTGTCGGAAAAACCGAACTCCTTCCGAGTGTTTAAGACCCACAAAATAGGGCGCAGGGCGCGGTGCATTCGAAGAAAGAAAGAAAGAAAGAAAGA